TCCAGAATCACAATGTCTAAATGGAACTTCCTTTCTTTCCTCCAGGGGAAATCACAAACATGAACCCCATCTTCATTCCATGGTCCCTTCTAGTGAAAAATCCACAAACTCAACCCAACCCCAACATGCAACTACCTCCCCATGCAAATCCAGTCCAACAAGAAAATCCACCAAATATCCCACTTCAAATGCCACATCTTGCTCCACCACCAGTACCTCACCCAGCTCCACTTGATCAACCCCCTCCCAATGCTCCAGAACCAGAAAATGTTCATATGGAAGAGGAAGAGGAGATAAACCTACTGGGGTCCGGACCAGTCCTAGAATTTCAACTCTCAACGAGGTAAAAGTGTTTCTTTTCAGGGACCTACTAGAGAAGATATATGTGCTCAGTTGCCCTCCAGCACTTTACAAGTGCTCAATGGATGTGAGACCCCCTCAGGATCCTACGGTAGGGAACCATGCAATGATTCTAGTGCCCTCTTTAAGGAGAAACCCAGTGTTGCAAGCTTAGGTGGACAATGGTCCGACAAAAAACCATGCAATGATGTTTAGGCCTACAAATATTATAATATGGAACATCCATTGGGGAAATAATGAGAATTTTAGGGTTAATTTCAGAGAAATGATAGATACCCATAGGACATGCATGGTTACACTGCTGGAGACGAGAATGGAGAATCATATCTCCTTTCTAAGCGACTTTGCCTTCTCTGAGATGATTGAAGTACCAAGTGATGGTCAGTCGGGAGGCATGGTCATTCTCTGGGACTCTAGTATTGTTAAAGTTCACAATTTTGTTAGGAGAAATCAGGAAATTCATGCAACTATTGAGCTAATCCCTTCTCACTCCTCTTGGCTTTTCTCTTCCATATATGCTAGCACTAAAACTGACAAAAGAAGAGAATTATGTAATAACATAGAAAATATAAGTACTAGTTATAAGGGTCCATGGTTATTAGGAGGAGACTTTAACGATGTACTTAGTACTAATGATAAGTTGGGGGGCAATCCTATTAATTGTAGGCGTAACACCTCTATTTGGAATACTATCAATAATTGCCGCTTATTAGACCTTGGTTATAAAGGACCTAAGTACACTTGGTCTAATCATAGGAAGAAATCTAAGGGTTTAATTATGGAGAGACTAGATAGAATCTTTGTTAATGAGGATTGGTTATATATGTACCCTAAGGATGTGGTAATCCACCTTCCCAAAACGCACTCAGATCATAATCCTTTGTTACTAAGTCTCTCCCCAAAAAATGTGAATCATTTTAATAAACCTTTCTGTTTGGAAACGATATGGTGTATACATCCGGACTTCATTAATTTAGTGAAGCACTGTTGGACTAGTAATAACTTTATTTGTGCCCAAAAAACCTTTAGAGATAAGGTTATCATTTGGAAAAATGAAACTTTTGGTGACATTTTTAAAAAGAAAAAAAGGATACTTGCTAGGCTAAGTGGCATCCAATCCTCTCTTAATTACCATGATAGCTACTTCTTACAAGATCTTGAGTCAAAATTACAGCATGATTATAACTCTATTTTAAAAATGGAACATGATTTCTGGAAACTACGGTCTAGAATAAATTGGCTCAACGAGGGTGAGGCTAATACCAAGTTCTTTCATATCATGGCCTCAAATCATAAACATCGTAATGCTATTATGTACTTCACTAATGATAGCGGGAATAGGATATCGGATCCAAAACTAATCCTAGACCATGCACCAGCATTCTTTAGGAATGCTTTTATAACATCAAAAATTTCGTCCCCAAGCAACATTAACATAGGTGATGTCTCCCTTCTTAAGAAAGTGGACCTAAGTAGTCTGGATAGTCCTCTAAACAATTCTGAAATCACTAAAGCTTTATTTTCCTTTAAACTCTTTAAGGCTCCGGGCCCGGATGGCATCCATCCTTTTTTTTATCAGAAATATTGGTATATCATTGGTAACTCGACTATAAGCTACTGCCATAAGGTCTTTGAGTACCAATCTCTACCAAATGGTATCAATGATACTTTTGTTTGTCTGGTTCCTAAATTTCCTAATGCAAATAACCTCAAAAATTTCGACCTATTGGTCTTTGCAATACTTCCTACAAGATAATCATAAAAATCATTGCTAATAGGATAAAACCTTTTCTCCCTTACCTTATTAGTCCAATGAAATCTAGATTTATAAAGAATAGAAAAGCCCGAGATAATGCCATTATCATCCAAGAAATTATGAATAATCTCCGTAGAACAAGAAAATCCAACTTTGATATGATCATCAAATTGGATTTGGAAAAAGCCTTTGACCGTTTGGAATGGTCTTTTGTCTATAAGACCCTAAAGTATTTCAATTTTCCTCCTAAAGTATCTCGTCTGATGATTTTGTACTAGCTCTATGGGTATCATAGTAAACGAGGCTAGAACAAGTTTTTTCCAACCTAGTCGAGGCATTCGTTAGGGTGATCCTATATCCCCATATATATTCATCATTTGTCTTGAACTACTATCTAGACTAATAAATCACCAAGTAGACACTTTACAATGGGATCCAATCTATTTTAAACATAAAGACCCCTCCTTTTTCTACATTTTCTTTGTTGATGATATTACTCTAATGGGGAAAGCTAACAAAAAGACTAGCCATTGCATTAAATCATACATGGATATTATTTGTGATGAATCTGGGCTAGCCATTAATAAAGTCAAATCAAGGATTGTCCTTCCTAATTAATGTCCCCAAGATTTGAAAATATTCCTTACCAACCTTTTTGGTATTAAATCCACCAATGAATTTGGTAAGTACCTTGGCTTCCCAATCCTCAACCATTCCCCTACCACTAAATACTTCCAATTTATCATAGATAAGATGCAATCTAAGCTGTCCCACTGGAAATGCTCGTTCCTAAATATGGCAAGAAGAACTACTCTAGCTTCAAGTACTCTATGTGCAATTCCTACTCATTTTATGCAATACACTCTTCTCCCCCCTAAAGTCTTAAAGAAGATTGATAAAATCTAAAGGGACTTTATTTGGGGTTCCACAAACACCACTAAAAAGCTTCACCTAATTAATTGGCAAAACATTACAAAAGATAAAACTGAGGGGGGTTTGGGTATACGCCCAGCCAAAGCCAAAAATCTAGTCTTACTCTCAAGTCTTGCTTGGAGATTTTTACAGAATATTACCTCTCCCTGGGGTCAAATTATAATATCAAATTGGATTTGGAAAAAGCCTTTGACCGTTTGGAATGGTCATTTGTCTATAAGACCCTAAAGTATTTCAATTTTCCTCCTAAATTATCTCGTCTGATCATGCATTGCATTTGTACTAGCTCTATGGGTATCGTAGTAAACGGGCTAGAACAAGTTTTTTCCAACCTAGTCGAGGTATTCGTCAGGGTGATCCTACATCCCCATATATATTCATCCTTTGCCTTGAACTGCTATCTATACTAATAAACCACCAAGTAGACACTTTACAATGTGATCCAATCTATTTTAAACATAAAGACCCCTCCTTTTCCCAAATCTTCTTTGCTGATGATATTACTCTAATGGGGAAAGCTAACAAAAACACTAGCCATTGCATTAAATCATGCATGGATCTTTTTTGTGATGAATCTGGGCTAGCCATTAATAAAGCCAAATCAAGGATTGTCCTTCCTAATTATTGTCCCCAGAATTTGAAAATATTCCTTATCAACCTCTTTGGTATTAAATCCACCAATGAATTTGGTAAGTACCTTGGCTTCCTAATCCTCAACCATTCCCCTACTACTAAAGACTTCTAATTTATCATAGATAAGATGAAATCTAAGTTGTCCCACTAGAAATGCTCGTTCCTAAATATGGCAGGAAGAACTACTCTAGCTTCAAGTACTCTATGTGCAATTTCTACTCATTCTATGCAATTTACTCTTCTCCCCCCTAAAGTCTTAAAGAAGATTGATAAAATCCAAAGGGACTTTATTTGGGGTTCCACAAACACCACTAAAAAGCTTCACCTAATTAGTTGGCAAAACATTACAAAAGATAATAGCCAAATATGCCACAAAGAAAACTCTCAGTAACACCTCTTTCATCTGGAAAGCTATTTTGCAAGGATGGAAAGTGTGCACCAAGGGTATCCTTTGGCATCCTTGTATTAACTCTAGGATTAACATTTTGCATGACAATTGGATTTACAACTCGCAATCCCTTAGAAGCATAATTGAAGGGCCTCTAAATAAGAGTGACCAAACCCTTTCAATTAAAAGCCTCATTCACAACAGAGAATGGAATAGTAGAGTTATTTTCTTTGAGCTGCCCAATGATATCCTCAACAATCTACACATTACACCCGTCCCTAGCAAGGATTCAAATGTTGACAAAATAAGTTGGCATCTTAGCTCATCAGGTATATTCTCCACCAAATCATGCTATAAACCCCTCTCTGAAAACAACACTACATCCAGGCCATTTAAGTGAATTTGGGATCTTCATTGCCCTAATAAATTAAAGTTATTTCTATGGAAATGCATGCACAACCGTATTCCTTGTCGAGCCTACCTAGCTAAAATAGGTATCAATATTGATGCTACTTGTCCAATTTGCAGATCCGGAGTAGAGGACATTCAACACATTTTTACTAAATGCCCTACTTCTAAACATCTCTGGGAAAATATGGGTCTTCCACCATTGGATATTAGGAATGACAAAAATTGATTTGTTATATTGAGAGATTTTTTTATTAAAAACTGTAACCTCATATACAATGGACTACTTTATTCCCCTTCTTCATATAGGAATTATAAAAAAACAGAAACTATAATAACATTAACAACCTAGAAAACTATTTAGAATTAAAGAAAGCTATTCATACATCATGGGAATTCACCTTCTTCCCTGAAAAAAATCTCTTTGTGGAAAAAACTATCAATGTAGAGATCGGTTGGAACAAACTTACTCAAGGTGTGATCAAGTTAAACTGTGATGATGCTTTCTCTAGTAAGAATAGAATGGCAGGTCTTGGTGGAGCATTTCGAAATAGCAAAGAAGATTGGCTTGTGGGTTACCATAAATCATGCCAAGCTTTTTCTCCTATCCATGCAGAGTTGTTGGCCTTGCTAGAAGGACTGAAAATTGCAAAGGACATGAACTTCCTCAATATGGAAATTGAAACTGATTGCACGGAAGTTATCAAACTTATTTATGAAGATAACACTAACTATTCTAATATTGTTTCTGAATGCAGATGGTTAATGCACCAATTGAAGATCCCGCAGCTGAAGCATAATTTCAGGGAAGGCAATATGGCCGCTCATCTACTGGCCAAACAAGCTGCCAAAAACCTACTATCATCTAAGTGTTTATACCATGTCTGTCCACCTTTTTTTGTGGAACAAGAAGTGATCAAGAACAAGCATGGAGTTTGTAATAGTGTTAGGAGTATTTCCAAGAATGTTTGTAACTATTTGACAACTATGGATAACAATAGTGCCCTAAAAACATCTACTATGCCTATGTAATTTCTTTTATTATATATATAAAATATCCTAGTGTTGTGTTAAAAAAAAACTTTTTCTGATAAATTTCTTTCTTTCTATACTAGTATATTACGTAATCACCCGAGTGCTATACTAGTTTAAAATTAAATAGCAAAACAGAAATTTATCAAGCTTGAATACCATCCTTTTAGTATAATTTAGATCACTTTTAATAAACTATCTTCATATTAAGCTTGACTACCACTTGGATTCACTTTCAAGCTTGCTTAATTCTTTAATTATCTAAATTTATTAATAATATATTGACTTTATTTGCTTACTTTCTTTTATTTCTTAAATTTAGTATTTTATCTATAATTTATAATTAAAATAGTATTGTTTACCGTGAAAATGGTAATAACAATTAAATTTGATTTTGTGGTTCTAAAAATACGTGATCTATTTTTATGCTAGTTGTTAGGCGATGGATGCTAAAGTAAAAGGTTAGAAGTCAAGATTATAGCTCAAAAACAATGTAATAGTCAAACCAAACGGCTGGAGATCGGGGCCTCGAGCTGTCATATATGAGGCCTCGAGGTCGAGTTGGATGCTGGCTTGGAGCAATCGAGGGAGGACTAACAGTTATGTGAGCTAAGACAATGGCTCTTTATGATCAATGATAAGCAATAAATGAAAAACAATAACTAGAACACAATAAATATAAGCAATAAATGGTAGTAATGAAAGCAAGAGAATATGTTAGAGAGCAGAGAGAATGTTCTTGTGTATTCAATATTGAGCATCAGATGATTACAAAGTGACAAGGATCCCCTTTATATATGAGGGGGAATCCCAACGTAGTACAAATGTATTTAATACCAAGATATGGGGCTGGTACAACCATTTAATGCCTTGATTCGGGTCTGAACTTAGCTCACTAGACTTTGTCAACTCTCGTTACGCGCCTTGGGAACTCCTCACTTTTTCACCATAACCGTTGGTCTGCACTGCCCGAGGTCAAGTGTCGATAGTCCTCGGGGGATAAATCTCGACCATAGTCTCGAACCTTCGAAAAGTGCTCACGAGGCATCGCAACGATGGAAAATTGGACTCTCCGATTTTATCGCGTACAGATAGTCCCCGTGTTTTTTAGAGTGAAAGTGATAAGAAACGACCTCGAATTCTTGCCCCTCTGGTACTTCCATAATGATGGCAATCATAAGGTGCCAAAAGGTCGCATACACACATCCTTAAAAGCTTTCGTATTGATTACATCGGCTGGCTATCCTTTGGCCTCCTTCAACGTGCCCATTGGGCCTCTATAAATACCTCTTCTCTTGTTCTTTATTGTTCACTACACCATCAAGCCCTCAAAAAAGTTCCTTCTACCTTTACTTTTGTTCTTTCTTTCTCCTCTTAAATCTTTTAAGAATGGCGAAAACTTTCGCCTTTGCTTCTCAAGGGAATGTATCCTCCTCTTCCTCGCTTTCATCTAAAAGTAAAGCAGCAATGCCTCCTCGTGTTGAGGAATGCATTCCAGGGTTTTTTGCAACGGCTTCCGATTTCAAGGTCGAAAAACCTTCTTCAAAGCTGGGGCATCGTGAGTCTATGTCTCAATGTATTAGCTTAATAATAGACGTCGAAAGGGTAAGGACTGATTACCGCTGGAGGGATACGGTGCTTGAGGAGATCCCTTTTCGAGAGGAGGATATAACGACATACAAAGTCAATTTTCTCAATGTGTATACTTACCCATTTATCCTTGGGTTGGTGGGGCCATTCCTGCCTTCAATAGACCCCATGGTTCTCGACTTCTGCCAACGGTATCGAGTGACCCTCGGCCAAATTCACCCTTCGTTCTGACGCATTGTCTACATGATCAGGTATTATGTGAACATGATTGGGGAGATGCCCTTCACCCTCAATCACCTGGTTAGGATGTATAGTCCCCGTCTATTTCATGGGGGCCTGATTAAGCTCCGCTGCCGAGCTTCGAGGGCTCTTTTTGCTTGCATCGACGAAGTTGGGAACGGAGGGTGGATGAGCTGTTTTGTCTGATTTAGGACTTCGAACCTGATCCCGGTGAAAAGGATGTCGTTCCCCGAAAGGTGGAATACAGACATAAGTAGATACGTTATCTAACATCTCCTTGCTTCTTTTTAGGTAAATCTTTTCACACGCTAATTTTTTCTGCTGATGCAGCCATAACAGTTTACTCTGGCGCGGTTACAGACCTCTCGGGCTGGGTCAGCTGGCTGGACTCGATTTGCCCATACGCCGAGTGAGTGTGGCGTGATCTGTCCCAAGCTGATGGGATGCCAAGGACCACGGTGAGCCTTTACTCCTGCTGCAGTCGTACCTTTTAATCAGAATTGATACTGATAGCGTTCTTACTCCATGTACTTATCTCTTGCATTCGTGTAGGTATGGGGGAGGTCCCCTTGATAAAGGGAACGTCGCTTGGTGAAGAGGGTACTTCGGGACATGATGAAGGGAAGAAAAGACAAAGGGAACCATTGAATGAACCTTCGGAATCCAAGAAGACCAAGGTGGAAGAAACTAAGGCCGACCCGGCAGCCCTAACTCCAAAAGCAATGGGAAGTCCTCAAGCTGAAGCCGAGGGGGAAATAATTTCTTGATAGCGTCTGAGTGAGGGAAAAACTCGATCGACCCTCAAGCCATAGAGATGGTGGCTCTCGAGTCGAAGCTTTATGTCATCATGGTCCAACTTCGGGATGGAGAGGCCACTGAAGGAGTATTGGGTGATGTCCCTGAGCCGGTCGATGGCTGAAATATCCCTCGAACTGAGACGCACTCGGTAGGTGGTTCGAAGGAACCCAGTTTTGAAGCCCAGTAGGGACAAGAGGTGGCCCCAATTAACCCTATTGGTGTTGTTGTTGTGAGTGATTCCCCTCAGGGAACGACCTTACCTCCTAAGGGAACGCAAGATGCCCCGAATGAAGAACCTTCCGACGTAGGGGTGCCTATCGGAGATAGAGATGTGTTTGAAAGGCCTTTAGCCGCTCCCGAGGGAATTCCCGAGCTCGATACTTCACTTGTCTTCAGCGAGATGAGCAGGTAGTTTTTGTAAATCCTACCTGTCATCCTGATCTTTGTCTTTCTAACTTGTCTTTTTCATGGCTTCAGGCTAGGACGCTTTATAATCAGACTTTTTGCCTAGTTTCAGGCTTAGGTGACCCGTCATGAGCGTGAGAAGGCTCATCTTGTTGAACAGGTTACCTAGTTTCCGTTTGCTATTGTCTGAATGTTTGCCAGATCCCAGCGTTTTGACATCTTTGATCTGATTCATGCAGCTTGAGAAGGAAGGTGCCTTACTAAGGGAGGAGCTCCGAGCCAGAGACTCTGAAGTTCTCGAACTCAAACGACACGTGAGAGAGATAACTTCTGAGAGGCATACCCTCCAGGAAAAGATGGCCTTAGTCGGGCACTAGCTTCATGACGCGAGGGCGGATAGTGAAAAGTATAGAGTTCTCCATTCTGAGTTAGTTGTTGCACTATCCGGGATTAAAACTGAAGCTGAGGCGCTTATATCTTTGCACAAAGAGGATGTCGTTGTAATATACGCTCAAGCCGGGAGAGTGCCTGTGGAGGAAGAATTGAAATTGACTCGAGACGTAGAGCATGCTCGGTTAGAATCTTGGAGGCAGACTCTCGAGGATATACACACGGGCGATATTAGTTTGTTTGCCGAGCTCGAGAGGGTGAAGACCCTAGAGAAGAAGGCTGCTGCCCTATTTTCTTCTGGAGGTGAGCCAGGTAGTGTCTTAGGAGATGATGAGAATGAAGGCGGAATCCCCAGCGGGAAAGAGGCCGTTGAAGGTCCTGGGGCTGTAGCCGGAACCGTGGGGGTGCAACCTCTGGCGGAGCCATCAAAGATGTAGGCTCGATAATAGATTAGGGTTCTATTAGGCTCCTTCCTTGTAAGGGTTTTTAAAGGCCTTGTAATCGTACCTCTATGAGTGATATGTATAAAAGGCTTTTCATTTTTATCACTTCTTTTCTCTTTTTCCCTTTGGGAATAATGTGTGGTGTTTTTCTTGATAATCGATCCGAGATCTCAGACCTTGGGTTAGACCCTTGGGTTTTTGCTATTGCTCAGCGACTCGTAATAGTCGAAGGTCAGTCCCTGAGTGTTCTTGGGTTAGGCTTGGCTCTTATACGTTGGGTCGATGCGACCTTCAATTTTAGTGCTGGCGACAGTGGCTCTTACGCGTTGGGCGTTAGGCATTTTGTATGGGCTGGCGATAGTGGCTCTTACGCATTGGGTCGGTACGACCTTCAATTTTAGTGCTGGCGACAATGGCTCTTACGCGTTTAGTCGGTACGACCTTTTAGTGTGAGTTGGCGTTCGAGCTCTTATGCTCTTACTCTTAGGCATATTTAGTTAACTGTTTTGGGTTCAGGCTCCGAGTCGGGTTTCGATCGAGCTCGATCGACCCTCAAGTTTTTGAATTTAAAGTTGGCCCTTAGGCTCTTACGCGTTAGGTCGGTACGACCTCTTGTATGGGCTGGTGATAGTGTCTCTTACGCATTGGGTTGGTACGACCTCTTATATAGGCTTTATTCTTCCCTCGTTAAGGACTTTTTAGAATTGTGTTTGTCTCGCTCTTTCGATGGTTTGATAGAAACCTCAATTGTGAGTCATTATATGGCGATAATCGAGCACCTCGGGAGGTTTAGCTCGACGGCTGAGTATCTCGAAGCCTTATAGTTTGGATATAACATGGTCGAAGCTCTTTTGCCTATGTTGAGGGTAGCCTATTTAACCGGTTCTTTTCGAAGTATTTTTGAAGTAATTGAAGGCCTGTGATTTTATAGCGACAGTCGGGCGTCCCCGAGTCGTATTAGTTTGGCTGGTACAGCCTTGTGACTGTAGTTATTGTGTTTGGCCAGAGCCTTTTAGTCCCCGAGTGAAGTAGTTTCGGCGTCTATATCGAGGGTATACCTTTTTAAGGGTCTTACAAGTTCGATATATAGCCTTAACTTTAAGATCGGGTTTATGCCTTTAGTAAGGTCTTACA